ACAAATACAACAATAGTAGGAAGTTATTTCCCTAATATGAAATTCTAAGAATTTCCTCAATTTGTTTATTGGTTAGCAATATAAGAAGAATTCCATGGAATTTGATTGACCATGCCCCATGGGAGAGCTAGCTTGGTAATTTACTTTCCGTATTTCGTGTGAAGTTGAAATTTTTCATGAATTTTCACTTTCTTCATATTTTTGCTATTGTGTGTCAGCCAAAAAATTATTCAATTTATTAATTCCCATTAATTTCTATTTCTCCCATTTTAGGTATATTGTCAAATAAAATTAAATAAAACCTAATTAAATTTAATCATATACTTCATTTTCAACTATTTGACACATGTATTACTTCTTTTATCAGACCAGTCTTCAAATAAAAGTCTTATTAACCCAAAGATCTATACGGCTATACCCATACTATTTTATTTTGCATATTTACCTTTAGTCAACTAAACACCACTATTTAATTTATTTATTTATTCACCTTCCTAAAACAATGTATAAAAGTAAGTGAAAAAAATATTATTTGAGAATGGAAAAAGTAAGGCCATGTTTAACTCAACTTATTTTTACTTATTTCAGACCACATCAGAAAAAAAAAAAAAGTTCTAACAATCTAACATGTTTTAATGTTTTATGTGTGGTTTATGTGTTGTTTTATTCCTGGGATCGTGGTCATGATGTCTGTGTTGACTTGACATGGTCTTCTCCTTTTGATACAATATGGGTTCTCTGACTTTGTTCCTGGACATGTTTTAATCTAACATGTTTTAATGTTTTATGTGTTGGCTGATGCGGATCGTCGGAAGCGAGTTAAGTACGAAGTCAGTTGTCGGGCAATTGGATATGGCTTCCTCCCTCTCACTTTCTCTTCACTTGGGGAATAAGATAAGGAGGCGGTTGCATTGTTGAATCGGATCCAGATGTTCTCGAAGACTCAAGACATTGAAGCACGTGTAGCTTCTCATATCTTCACTAGGATAGGATTTGCTATTGATCGAGGAGTGGGGGCCTAGATTGTATCTCGGCTTCCTACTAATTTTTTGTAGATTGTTTGACATTATATATGTTTTGAGATATAATAATAATAATAATAATAATAATAATAATAATAATAATAATAATATATTATTATTATTATTATTATTATTATTATTATTATTATTATTATTATAAGATCATATTTGATATATTTTTTCCATATAGATTAGAGTACATAAGGTCAAAGCAAAATTAAATAAGTCAATTAAATCAGATCATAAAAAATAAGTTCAAATTAAATTAGATTATATAGCGCAAAAATAAGATTAATGCTATAAATGATCAAGTGCGTGCACGCACCCTTAGCTTAAGGACGTTATATATCATTAACTAATGCTACAAAAACGATTGATTAACTAATTATTGACATTTTCTTATTTGGTGGGCGTATTAAAGAGCAAACAATGGCTGGATTTTTCAAATGAAACAATTTCAATTTGTCGAATTAGGTTTTTTTATTCCAAATTAAACCCTACTTTTCTTCTAGGGAGTGGTTAGAGCGTAATTGTGCCTTGTTCTTTCAACAATTAAGAACTTCCAATTAAATCTTCATCCATTAACATCATCACTGCCTAGATTAATTATGCCTCCACTTGACCACTTGATATGTATTCAAAATTGCAAGCTCGATTTTGATGCATATCACATAAGACAATATCTTTTTAGTGAATAAAAAAATATGCAATTAAAGGAGGTTTCATGCTAGAGTATAGAACATAACCCTGGATCTCAACCATTAGGTTAAGTATTTGATTGAGTTGGTCTTTTAACATGGTATTAGAGCCGATGGTTGAGACCTAAGATTATGTTTTACGCTATCATTCCATAGTCCATACTTGTCATATTGCTACTCTTATCTCACATTTATCACTTATGTAGTGTTTAATTTGCCTTAATTTTCTAATTTAATACGTTCTAATCAAAATATTAGATTTTGGTCTTATTTGTTAATGTCAATGACACTTTTGTTAACGTCAAGAATATATGCTATGTATTGGAAATTCATGCTACAATGTGACACTACAACGTCTACAAGTCCATCTACAACACCTCGTCCGATCATTTTGAAGCGTCATCTTGTAGAAATTGCACTATACGAAATTACGAAGTAATATAGAATCCGTTTGATTTTCTACCCAAAAAAAAAAAAAAAAAAAAAACAAAAAAAAAAAAACACCAGACTCAAAAAGTCATGTACAAGACAAGAGTTGGAGTGAGAAGTTCTTGAAATGATCTAAGAAAATATCATAAGGGTAGGGGTATTCAAAGTTTGTTCCGGATCGGTTCGGACCAAATTAATCGGCCTAGTCTCCTGGTAGAAAATTGATTTTTTTTGGTTTTCGGTCCGGTCCGATCCAAAATCCTATACAAAAAAGATGTTAAAATATTGTTATTTTTTCTACAAAAAAATCCATAAATTATATAAAATTAGGAAATTTTTTTATAAAAATTCTAAAATCGATGCAAACCTGTCCGGTCCAGGTTTTGGACCGATTTTTTCAGTTCAGTCGTCCTAACTTAATTGGTCCGGTCTTCGTTTCTTTAAATTCAATTTTTCGGTCTTCGATCCGATCTTGGACCGATGAACATCCGTAAGTAAGGGCATGGGTCAAAGATATTGTAGGGGATCGTAAAGAATTTGGTCTAGCCGTCTAGGTATATATCTTTGAGTTAAGTTAAATGATGTTGCTCCCAAATTCGACGCATAGACCCAAATTATATATGTACTTCGTATTATAGAGTAGTTCTAAATAATTTTAAACTTGGTGGAGGCATTTTTGTGAGTTGTGACATTTTGTAGTATACATATAAATAGATATTTTTAGTTTTTGTTGTACCCTAATCATTCTTTCATCTTAATTTTTTAGCTCATCACTTAGCAAAACTAATTCCTTTCGGAGTTGAGCAAGTGTGGGAAAATTGTTTTCCACAAGACATAATTGAACTCCATATGTACTGATGGACATTGCTTCTTTAATATAATGCTAGCTTGCGTGGGTTTTTTTTTTTTTTTTTTTTTAAATTTTATTTTTAATAAATTAACTTTATAAATTTAAGAAAATAGGGTAATAGAAGAAAATTTATTTACTTGCATGGGAACTTAAATCCGATATAGCCAATAGTGGATCGATCTGGTCGTCAAAGGTGTAAATTTCACATAAAAATCGATCCAAAGAATAGTAATATAATGTTGATGAGTTTTATAATATAATAATGTAGCCCTAATCCTTATACAATATTTAATTAATTTAGAAAATACCTATTTAATTGCTGTTATTGGACAAGTAACTAACTACTCGTGTCATATTAAACAAACTAAGCTAAAGATTTTTTTTTACCCTCTCCCTTTCAATTGGTCTATGGTCTATGCCCATGTAATTGACCTCAAAAGAATTAAAAATAATAATTATCAAGTACGTACTCCACATGATATGACCAATCATAAAAGTTTTCTCTTTGCCACAAAAAAAAAAAAAAAAAGTTTTCTCTTAATTTAAAAATTGTGAAAAAATTGCATAAATACCCTATTTCAAATTTTAGGCCCATTTTACTCGAGGGTTTTGTGCAATTGTCACCTTACACGCTTCACCTCTGATGATAAAAATGACTTATTTAATGTGTCCCTATTTATTTGTCCTACCGTCCTTTTACGATTTTTAACTCATTTTAAGTATATAGATATTAGATTATTTTTTTTTTGATAAAAATATAGATATTAGATATTATCAACTATGTTAATGTAAAAAAATACTACGTTTATTCTAAAAGTAAACATTTTTTTTACAGTAAAAGTACCCATTAAATTAAATTAAACAAAACTCCCTAACTATGTGATTAAAAATTTTAAAATTTGATCAACAAAATTGCAATGAGGCAAAAAGGAACACTCCGTACGAAGTAGACGGAATGGAGCACTAAAATTGAAGTGTTAAAATCAATTTCGAGACATACCAAAATTGAGATAGAAGCGTGAAATTCTTTACTCCTATTATTTTGGGATTGACAAAGTCGTAAACAAAGCAATAAAAACGACTACTCCTCTGTAACGAATAAAAAGATCCAACTTTTTCTAGGTTTTCTTCTTCTTACATAATCGAGCTGAATTTTCATACATTAGTGTGGTTTTCATAGTAGCTTTCATATTCGAGCTGAAATTTCATACATTAGTATACTTTTCATTTTATATGGAGTAGTATATTATGAGTATTCTTTTTACTAACCATTATTAGTGTACTTTTCATACATTTTTTTTATAAAAAAAACTCATACATTAATGTTCTTTTACATTTCATTATTCTTTTTATATATGAAGTGTTTAAACTAAATCTTATTATAACTAATATAAACTTAGATAGTTCTTATTAACTCTTACTAGATTTTATTTTTCCTAAACTTATCTAAAATGAATTTATTTTTCGTGAATTGAATAGATCGAAAATGTGGTGAACGTGAACTAAATGGAAACTGATATGATCTGAGCTAAGTGGTACAAAATTGTGAATTTGTAGTATGTTGAATACTTTTATGTATATATAAGTAAAATAGTTTGTATATTCCTCGACCATCCTCATAATAATTGATAGAGTATATAAACCGATCATGTACTTCAACTACCAAGTTAAGTTTTTGGTTAAGTTGGTACTCAGTAGTATTTTACTATATGTTAGTTCTCTACAACTTATTTTTTTTTTATTTATTCACAAATTTATTAATACCGTCATTCATTACCAAATATAAGGTGACAGTACATTGTTAGGCGATGATGAACATTTATGAATAAATACACAACGCTTAAGGATGATATAATTGCTTTTAAATAAGCTAATGATGAATGAAATTAATTACTTTTAAATAATTAGATATGAAATGGACCGTTGTAACAAGTTTAAGGTTTAATAATCCAACAGTCATCGTTGAAAAGTCTATGCTTCCTTCCTATAAAACTACTACACTCCTTACTCCTTAGTGAACCAACATGCATATTCACTAGCTAGCTACTTAAACAATACAAATATAAATTCTAGCTAGTAATAGTAACAAATTAAAAAAAAATTATGGGAAGCATAGATTTACAACTAGAAAATGTTAATGAGGATGCTGAGCTCCTCAAGGCTCACGCCGAGGTGTACAACCATCTCTTTGCCTACGCCGATACCCTTGCCTTAAGAGCTGCTATAGATCTCCGCATTGCGGATATCATACACTCTCATGGCCACCCAATGAGTTTATCTCAAATAGCCTCGAAACTCGAGTCACCCTCCCCTGATGTCACGTGCCTTGCACGTGTCATGCGGATGCTAGTCCGTAAGAAAATCTTTACTGTTGATTATAATAATACATCAGGTGAAGAAATCGTACCCTTATATGGTCTAACCACGACTTCTATGTGGCTCTTGCATGACCAAGACCTAAGCCTTGCTCCTATGTTTTTAACATTTACACACCCTTGGATCATATCTGCATGGTTTGAGATTAGCCGTTCGATCAAGGAGGGTGGGACCCCGTTCGAAAAGGCGTATGGCCAATCGTTTTGGGAGAGGGCAGCTGAGGACCCTGAGTTTAACACAATGTTTAACACTGGGATGGCAGCTGCTACTAAGCCAGCCTTAGATGCTGTTGTTAAAGGGTATAAGGATGGTTTTAGTGAATTAAAAGGTACTCTTATTGATGTTGGAGGTGGAATTGGAAGGATGATAGCCAAAATTGTTAAGGCTTACCCTCATATTAAGGGTATTAACCTTGACTTGCCTCATGTTGTGGCTAGTGCCCCACAACATCCTGGTGTCACCCACGTTGGAGGTGACATGTTTAAGGAGATTCCTAATGCAGACGCTATCATTTTCAAGGTACGTAGATCTAATATTCTAATCATTTATCTGTGAAAAAAATACGGAGTACGAAGTATTTTATATAGATCAGATCATATTTAATCGGGTCTATTTTTAAAAGTTATAAACCCACAAGTCATACTTTATTAAGGCAAACAAAACAATTGGAAATTTCTAACATACATGCATGCGTCCATGGTCATACAATTCACTAAAATTTGTAAGATTATTTCTTAAGTAAACCTAAATACTATGTATTTTACATTTATTATTTCCATGTACCAAATAAATTACGAGTATATAGTCTGTCGTTTTAGAATAATTTATTATTTTGTTTTGAAAAGTACAACACCTTTGATTAATGGTAATAAAATATTAAGAGTGAATGTTCATACAATTTTCTTGGTTGATCACTTTTAATCTAAAAACTTTTTATTATTACATCGAGTGATAGAGTATAAAACATATTTTTGGGCCTCAATCATCAGATTAAACTTTTAATTGAGCTGATCCTTTAACTTTGAGTACTTGTACTGTTGTACATAATAATTAACTAATTAACCACTTTAACTTATTTTATGTTTTGCAGTCCATTTTACACGACTGGACGGATGAACACTGTTTAAAAATCCTAAAGAACTGTAAAAAGGCGGTATCCCAAAGCAAAGGGAAGGTGATTATTGTGGACGTAATTCTAAATCCTGATGGAAAAGGGTTGTTCGACGACGCGGTCATAGGCTGTGATCTTTGGTTGATGGCAGATTGTGTTGGTGGAAAAGAGAGAACTGAGGAGGAATGGAGGAAATTGTTGAAAGAAGCTGGTTTTACTACCCTCAATGTCATCCGCCTTCCTACTATTATGTCATTATCGATCATCGAGGCTGTTCCTCAATAGACCAGCTAGCATGACTAGCTAGTTCCAGTGCACTTTCCAATTGGTTGCAACAAATAATAAGTTGGGTTTGAGTTGGTTCGTATTTGTATCGTATTATGTGTTAGGTTTGGATTTCTAGCTCCTATAAGACGTATTGTGTTGCGACGTAATGATGTGTTAAAAATTACCAAGTTTTTATTTTTATTTTATAAAGTAAGGAGAGGGTCCCTGAGCAAATCTTAATCTTCACGGTTTTTTTAGTTTGATATTTGTGGGTCAGATACTCTAAAAGTGAGAGGAAAAAAGTAAGAAATCCTCACTCTCAAAGTCATTCTAGTGGAAATTGAACCCCCAACCTTTTAAGTTGGAAGGCATAACATTTTCCAGTAGACCAAGCTTAGCTTGGTACGTAGCTACTATAATATCCATTGTACTTGTATCTTAAAAGTACGTAGTACGTATGATGTACATACGTGCATGGTAAATTTGGTATATGTACTTTATTTGCAAATTGTATTATGGTTTAATATATTTAGCTTGTTAGATAAGAGAGAGTCTAGTGGTGTGTTCACTGTTCACATAGCACTAGATTTGCTTATTTCATCAAACACCTCGGAGGTGATCAAAATTTGAGTCAAGCTGGTTTTACGAAAAAAACTCATGCTCAAATTTGTTAAAAAGTGTGGGGCTTGTCAAGTCTAAATGAGTTTTTTCGGTCCATATCAGACTTTTTTTAAACTAAAATTGAAATTTTTGGCTTGCTCAAACCCATTTGTTTTTTGTCGAATTGGGTCGTGCTTGCGGGCCGGGCCATAGTTGATCATCTCTAATTACCTTTTTTATGTTAATATTAGTATATTACATTCATACAACCTCTCCGATCCTCTCAAACTAAGGTGTTGTTTGGTTGGCTCTATTTTCTTATGGACATTCAAAATTTGTTGTTTTGTTGACACAAAAAAGTTAAATTTGGGACAATGACAATTCATGGGAATTTTGTCTTTCCTCAAAACATAGGAATTAACTTACCCAACCCTCCATTTTCACCCAAACAAATTTGATGAATTCCCAAAATACAATCAAATCTAAAGGGCTCCTATATATTACTTTGCCCATGGGCCTCCGAAATCTCAAATACGGCCCCGCATATATTGATAGATAATAGGTTAATATTATCTTATTTATATTATGTAAAGATATATCTTGTGTAATTTAGGACTCTCATAATTAGGTTTGTAAATACCTATTTACTCGATATTGAATGAATGAGAAGTCTCGAATCAAGGAGCAAAAATTACACTATTCTACATGGTATCAGATCCCAATATATATAATTATGGTTTCTCTTTTCTTTCGATCTCTCACAAACCCTAGCTGATCCTTAGCCTAGCCGTGAACCACCAGTGCCACACATCACCAACAACTTCCGGCTACTCCTTCACTTTCTCCATGGCAGGCGATGACACTCCCCCCTCCTCCTCCTCCTTCAGCTCCAACACCTTCCACCCGGCTTTTGCCGTTCCAAACATAAAAAAATCTCATGAGTATTACACTTGATCCAAAAGAGGAGCAATATGCAACGTGGGTTGAACTTTTTCAGATTCAAGCTTGTGCTTTCAATGTTCTAGACCATATTGATGCTACCATTTCTCGTCCGACAGAGATTGATGGTAGAAAAAAATGATTAACTAAATTGACTTATTCTTATTTGGAGGGCGTACATATTAATGGTTGCATTTGTCAAATGAAACAAATTTAATTTGTCGAATTAGCAAGTAATTGTGCCTTGTTGTTTTAACATTTGAGAACTTCCAATCAAATCCACATCCATTAACATCATCATTGCCTGGTTAGATTTGATCCGATTTGTTAATGTCAATGACACTTTTGTTAATGTCAAACTAATTAAACGGATTACACTAGTACACTACAAGTCCATCTACAGCACCTCGTACAATTCTGTGGAATATTATTAAACGGATCCTTTTTGAAGCGTCATCGATCTGATCTTGTGGAAATTACACTATTCCAACTTTCCAAGTTATAAAAATTCTACCGTACGTTTAACTTTCTAACGAGAAAATATGAACTTAATAAAATAGAAAAGACATCAAGTTTTCTCTTAATTTTTTTAAAGACATTTTGTGAAAAACTACTTTATAAAGCAATTTTTTTTTTGTGAGAAACTATCTAATAAAAAAAATGTTGTAAGAAATTACTTTATAAAATAGTAAATGTTGTAAGAGATTACCATTGGTCGATAAGTCAGACTTTTATTTTCCGGCGTTGACTATGTCACGTGTCAATAAAGAAAAAAAGAGGAAAATGGTGAATTAAAAGTCAATGCTTGAAAATGAAAGTCAACGGTGACTTTCCGACCAATGGTAGTCTCTTACAACATTTATCTTTTTATAAGGTACTTTTTTACAACATTTTTTTAATTAGGTAGTTTCTCGCAAAAAAGGTGTTTTATAATATAGTTTTTCACAAAATGTCCTTTTTTTTTTTAAGTACCGTACATTACCAAAAGACATCAAAAGTCCATTTTACACGACTCGACGGATGAACATTGCTTAAAAATAATCCTAGAACTGTTCAACTGTAAAAAGGCGGTATCCCAAAGCAAAGGGAAGGTGATTATTGTGGATGCAATTCTTAATCCTGATGGAAAAGAGTTGTTCGACGACGCGGTCATAGGCTGTGATCTTTGGTTAATGGCACTTTAATTTGGATTTGGTTGTAACAAATAATAAGTTGGGTTTGAGTTGGTTCGTGTTTGTTTCGTGTTATGTGTAAGGTTCGGATTTCTCACTATAACACAATGCATATCATATTGCGGTGTTATGATTTGTTACAAATTACCTACTACCTAGCTACGTACTATAATATCCCTTATACTTGTATCTTTAAAGTACGTATTATCTACGTACATGCATGGTGAATTTGGTATATGTACTTTAATTTATCATGTATTATGATTGATTATATTAGCTTGTTGGATAAGAGAGAGTCTAGTGGTGTATGTGTTTACATAGCACAAGTCACTATAGCAAGTGTACATAGCATAATACTCCGTAATTGCATACTTGATTGTAATAATGATTATTTGTAAATGAAACAAATAAATTTTATTTTGAATGGAAAAAAAGGGCCATAAATTATTTCAAAATTTCCGAGCCAATTAAACCAAATATATTTTGAATGGATTATCAACCGAGTTAAATCACCTCTAAATCATCCAATTTGGAACTTAAGGAGTTAATAGCACATTGATTTTAACTCTAATCTTATATACTTCAAATTGTATGTGAGTCCAGAGCTCTGAAAAATACTGTTATACTGATCCATATGATTCAAATCATATAATAAAGAAACAATAAGATATTTACCTTACTCAAAATGAATAGGTCCGATTCAAACATGATTGAAGTTGACCTATACTTCCTCTGTTAATATTGCAACAAGGATGAAATTACGCATCCCGAAACACCTTTTATATGCTAAATATCTATAATTGTGTAAGAGTAAAAATTATAAAAAGTTGATATTGTGAAAGTATTTTATGAGACGAATCCAACAAGATCCCACTTGACTATATTTTGCTTAACGTATAACTCATATTATATGGTCAAACAAAAGTGATGAATAGTGCAAAAAGTCCATTGTTGCAATATAAATAGAACGGAGGAAGTATTTCATATTAAAGTAAGCGGCAGTAATAATAGACTCAAAAGTTACACAACCTAAATTATAGTACCAAATTTGAATTGAAGATTCTTAACATGACAGTATATACTACCTCCGTTACAAGTTATGTGCAACGATTAGACATTTTCCCTCTCTGCTTTATGTCAAATCGTTGCACATAACCTGTAACAGAGGTAGTATGATACATTGATACTAAGTATATAGGGAGTATGTATCTAATAAAATTTAGGGAAATTCTCACCGGTAACACCCAACTTCTGTTTTTTCTCAATGGTAGAATGCAAATTTTTGGATTATCATTGGTAATCACCAATTACTAATACTAATTTACTTGTAACATTAATGAATCTTTTACCTAAATCCTTTACCATGGTTACCATGTTAAGTGGGAAATTGGAAGCAAAATGACTTAATTGCCCATATTAACAAGGTCAGGAAGATGCAGGCTACCATTAATCAATTTACCAATCATATGGCAAATTTGCTTTGTATAGAAAGGGATTTAGAGTTGTAATTTACTCAAGAAGAGTTAAATGTTGTGCCTACACCTGACGAAAATTCTGATTTCTCTAAGCTAATTGAATTTGTTCAGATGATCAAATTCTCACAAAAACTATATTAATCATAAAACCAGTAGTTATTCCCCAAATTAGATCGAAGCCCACCGAATTTAACTCAAAATCAGATTAAAAATTGGAAAAACAAGTGATGATTGGGTCAACTGCACCTGAATTAATCGAACCTAGAAAAATTGAACCCAATAGTTCATTCCCTGTGCTATCTTACTTCGTATTAAGAGAAATTGAGAAGATCTTTATAAAAAAAAAAAAAAAAAAAAAAAAAAGAATTGAGAAGAAGAAGAACCGGGAGTATGAATATAATTGGGGGTTTATGGTTCATATAAACAGGTAACTGATTGAGGAGGGAAAGCAGCATATAACTTTGGAGGGGAAGTGATTTTTTAGAAGGATAGATTTGTAACTGTGTTATTAGTAAACCATGGTTAGTCAATAATTAGGTAAAAGTTTAATTAATGTTACAAGTAAATTAGTATTAGTAATTGGTGATTACCAATGATAATCCAAAATTTTGCATTCTACCATTGAGAAAAAATAGAAGTTGGGTGTTACCGGTGAGAATTTCTCTAAAATTTATCATATTGGCTAATCATGTCATATCAAATTACTCCGTACTAATTAGGAGACATGGGTGGCTAACAAATCAACAAATAATGATCAAGTAGTATAACTACAACATATTTTTGTTTAAAAAAAAAAACAAAAAAACAAACATATTTTCTTAACCAATTAACCATCTTTCAATAATATGCACTTGCTAAACTTGTGAGTGTTGATTGTTGAACATTTCAAATCTGAATATATTTTGTGGAAGATAAGTCAAAATATGTTGATAAAAGGGCCTAAACCGTACCTCTGACTCTCTGATTTGATACTTCTTCTTTCATTTTTATATTTTATTTTTATTATTATAGTGTAAGGAGAGACATAATTATCCAAATAATTAATAAAGTAGAGAAGAGAATTTAAAACATGCTATAGTTACTTTATTTATTATATTCATTCATTTATTTCAAAAAAAATAAAAAATTATATTCATTCATTTGAAAAGGTAAGAAAAAATGGCCTAAAGTAGAGGTATATTGATTGAATATTGCAATGATATAAAAAAAAAAGGTATGTATTGTTCTGTTTACTTTTGTGCATTGTAGATTTAAAACACAAGAGCCTCAGATTAAACATTCATGTCTTTACTATACTAAACTCATCCATTCTCTAATAAGCTAAGTTGTATATTATGCATTTCTCTAAATTATAATAAACTCTCGTTTTGTTTAATATAGACATATATTGACTATACTCATCCATATTCTAAGGCCCTATTCACTTGACTTTTTGTTTTACTAAATTGAAATTATTTTTACTGAACTTAAATAATTTTTATTAAACTAAAATTAATTTAATTGATTCGCCATTATATTTCTTCTTTAAGATTATTGATTTTTACCGAATCGAAATTATTTTATTGAACTGAACTTATTTTTACTGAACATAAACAAGACCTAAGTTTAGCACTACATTTAATATTATATTATTACCAATTTTCATATGTATAGAAACAAAATCGCAGTCATAAAAGACTAATTTTTAATTCTTGACTACAATTTTACATGTATTTTTTTAAATTTCTTGTTCTCTTGATGGGTAAGTGCAGTGAACAAGCGAAGGGAATTAATAATATTTTTTCTCTTGTACTATGAAAGGTATATTGCAGTCGACCTTAATTAAATTATTTTGGGATCATTTTGTTCATTATTTTGGGATCATTTTGTTCATTGCATTATTGTTGTTGTTGAAAGGGTATGTTTCTACCAACTTTAAGATGTAGCAATTGCAAACAATGGCAATAAAAGATACTTGATCTCATATCATTTCCATTTCTTTTGCTCGAATAGGCGAATGATCAATTAGAATGGCATTAAAAATTACCCCCTCCATTTTTTAAATGCATCACTTTTTATTTAGGAGTGTACTTTTTTAAATGCATCAATTCTATATTTGGTAATTTTATACTATATTTTGTTATTTTGCTCTCTTCTCTAAAACCCACCCAAAGTATTTTTATCATTTCTCTTTCTTTCATAGTATTTACTTATATAATTAAATAAATCATTCTCTCTCACATAATATCTATTTCATAAGTCATATTGTACTTTTATCAAAATAAATTAATCATTCATTTACTACACTTGGCCAATATAATATTAAAGCAAATAACTCTCTTAAAACTCCGCATAAATACAAGTAATGCATTTATTAAAAAAAAAAAAAAACGGATTGAAGGGAATATAAATATATAATTTAGCATGAAAAACTAGAACTGTGACCCTTAATCTTTATTAAAAAGTCAATGCAAGACGACGTTGGTCAGTATGGTCACAGACTCACAGTCGCACATTTCCATTTGAGTGTGCTACATTATACTATTCAATACACTTTTACGTGATTACTCCGTAATTAAGAAATGACGTACAATTTATTGTTCTTGACTTCTTGTACTATTATCCCAATATATCCTCAATCAAAGGAGCAATATTTCAACACACGTACATTATGTTCTTGACTTTGTAACACATGTTAAACATCTTAAGACACCCCAGCAAATTAAACAACGACATAATCTATTTATCCTCCTATAAATAGATTCTTTCATTCAAGCTTATTAACAATTTAATTCAAATACACAATAATATATATATAGTCTCAAAAATGGGGAGCACAGAAATAAACATTAGCAATGCTAATGAAGATGTTGAGCTCCTCAAAGCACATGCCGAGGTGTACAACCATCTCTTTGGCTACGCCGATACCCTTGCCCTAAGAACAGCCGTGGAGCTCCGCATTGCGGACATAATCCACTCCCATGGCCACCCAATAACCTTATCTCAAATAGCCTCGAAAATCGAGGCTCCCTCCCTAGATGTCACGTACCTTGGACGTGTCATGAGAATGCTAGTCCGTAAAAAAATATTCACCATAGAATATAATAACCAGACATCAGGTGAAGAAGTCGTACCCTTATATGGTATAACCACAACATCTAAGTGGCTCTTGTACGATCAAGACCTTAGCCTTGCCCCTATGTTCCTAACCCTTTCGGACCCTTTGATCACGAAACCATGGTACGAGTTTAGTCGTTCGATTAAGGAGGGTGGGATGCCATTTGTTAAGGCACATGGAATGTCTGTTTGGGAAATGGCATCTAAAAATAAAGAGTTCAATAATTTGTTTAATGTTGGAATGACTGCTGCTACTAAACCTACCTTAGATGCTGTTATTAAAGGGTACAAAGATGAGTTTAGTAAGTTGGAAGGAACATTGCTTGTTGATGTTGGTGGTGGTACCGGAAATTTGATGGCCGAAATCCTTAAGGCGTACCCTAAGATTAAAGGTATTAACTTTGATCTGCCTCCTACGGTTGCAAGTGCTCCTCAACATTCCGGTGTCACCCATGTTGGTGGCGACATGTTTAAGGAGATTCCGTCTGCTGATAATGTCATCATCAAGGTATGTCTTTCCATTATTTTTTTAAAAATCGTTACATATTAATGCAAATTTTTGCACGGCTGTGTTCTCTTCACATTATTTTGATTTTTACAAAAATTATTTTTGCTGAACTTAAACTGTTTTCAGTGAATTTAAGTTATTCAATAAAAATATTTTCATTTCAATAAAAACATAATTTCATGTATTAACATAAAATTAGTCCCTTTAGGAAAAACATTTTATGTTAAGCAAAAAAGAATAATTTCATTTCAGTTAATTAAATAATTTCAATTGTTTCGAAAAAAAAAAATTAAATAATTTCAATTTAACAAAAATAAGTTATACAGATTAATGCATGGGCTAAGTGTTTAACATAATATCATCATTGACACTTTTTTGTTATCTAAACTTTAAACCTTAATCATTTTACTAAGTAAACAAATTCTCTATTGTATTATGCTAAATTACGTCTACTCTTATTACAACATGTTTAATTTTTTTTGGTGGTGTTGTAGTCGGTCTTACACGACTGGGCAGATAAGGAATGCTTAACGATCCTAAAGAACTGTCAAAAGGCGGTATCTGAGAAGAAAGGAAGGGTGATCATAGTTGATATAGTTCTTCATCCTGATGGACATGGGATTTTTGACGACGCAACGATTTCCCTTGATCTTTTGATAATGGCCAATACTGATGGTGGCAAAGAGAGGACTGAAGATGAATGGAAGAAACTGCTGAAAGAAGCTGGTTTTACTCGCATTAACTTCATACCACTTCAAACTATTATGTCATTTTCAGTTATTGAGGCTTTTCTTCAGTAACTGTGATTTATATAAGAAATGTTGCCAGTTAAAAAATCTTAGACTTTAGGCAGCATTACTATTGGAGAAAGAATAATATGGACTCTTACATTATTGTTATAACCTATTAATCTACGTTCATTTGAGAAAGGTAGTCAAGATGTATGGTGAAAATTGTTCTTTGTATACGGACTACATTATGGATTATAATATGTGTAATTTCTGTTTAAGTCAAGGTCATATATGAAATGTAACTAATTTAAAGCTAGTAAAGGGAAACACCAAAAATGGCAAATATTTAGTAAAGCTTTTTGTGAAATCCATTTATATTGAAAGACTGGTCTATGTCCAATTATCAATCAATCGATATAACTATACATTAAAAGTCACACCAGCAATGACACAAATTTTTCTTAAAAAATTTAGACAATTATAAATAATAAAAAATTAAATCATATTCTTAAAATAATTTCGGGACATGTTTTACTACAAGAAAAAATATTACTAAGATTTTTTTGCCAATTTTTTGTTAGTTGTGTATAAGAAGCTACAACAAAAAATTCAACATATCACATACTTTTATTATTCCTCGACTGATTGTGATTATATTACTCAATTAATAATCTATAACTATATACATCGTATAACTTTAGATCACCATGCATGGCACGGAACCTAATAGTACTCGTATTATTTAATGCTTCTTGACGTATTTTCACATTAATTTAGGAACAAATAACCTACCGCATATGGTGAACATTTTTTTTTCCTTCGGAAAATAGTGGTGGTCAAGGATGACTGTACTACTTATTAAGTGATTATTACATGGTGTCCCTCAGAGAAAAAAAAAATAAAATAAAAGGTGACTATGCATGGTGGAAACATGAAAGATACGGCTTAAAGTTGGAAAATTCAAGACATTTAATACTTAACTAAATAATAAAAAATGATGAAGACATCAAATTGAACAAGTAAAACCATGGAACAATTCAAAGTAAGCATTAAAGAGTATAATTATTAGAACTACATCACAATAAGATTTTTTTTTTTTTTTTTTTGAAGAAACACTATAAGATTATTTTTGTTCTTAGCTTACACACATTTACATTTATCATAGGATAAAAAAATAAATAAATAAAAAAAAGCAACTAACTCTTTTGTGACTACATATGTACATTTTAGTTTTTAATTAAGAGTAGGCATTATTCACTTCACTTTATTTTTGCCGAATGAAATTTATTTTTATTGAATAAAAATTATTTTTTCTAAAATAAAATGAATTATATTGTCTTGAAATTATTGTAACTAAACTAAAATTATAATTTGTTGAACTAAGATTATTTTGGGTGAATTATTTTTTTTTTTGATCTTTTACTATATTTCTTCCTAAGGTTACTAATTTAGCCTAAACTGAAATAAAATTTACTAAACTAAACTTATTTTTATGAACTAGAATCATTTTTACTATATAAGGTGAAAGTGAACATGACCTGACTCTTATTATCCATGAGTGACTAACCTTTTCTTTTTTAACAGGAGTAACATTAATTTTTTATAAACATAACTTTAATTATTTTGTCCATTTTAAAATTGTCCTATGAACCCAATTAATTACTACTTCCGTTTCTTTTTAGTTGACACATATTCCTTTTTAGGAAGTTTTTTTTTTAAGTTGAAACATTTCCTTTTGGAATAAATTTTTTACCTTGTATTTACAAGTTACTCCACTTGCTTTTTCATTCTCTCTTACTCTCTCTCTTCTCTTTTAAATATATGTGCCTAAATCAAACGCGTCAACTAAATAAAAACGGAGGAAGTAGATACAAGTAATAATATTAAATAACTAAATACAATGTAATTTAACCCTATTTTTTCATTCAAATAACCTCATGCCCTCATCTCATTATTTTGTTCGTTTAAACTATTATTGGCTCTATTGACTCATTTGCTTAAAATTTCTTTGGTTGAAATCGATATAAGTACTTTGTTATCCCGTGTTTCAAATAATTTTTAAAATACTGTAATTACGTAGTGTTTATATATTTTGGATCTAGGCCATCAGGGCCGATCGAAGTAGTTATTATTAGAATTAAATCATTTAACATCGGTTCCAACACGTTGTGAGTTGGCCTGGGTCCATTATTGGTCCAAGACCTATATGCATACTAGGCATTGTTATACTTAATTGATACGGCATATTATATTTATCTCACCTTTTGTCAAAAAAAAAAAAATATTTATCTCACCAATCACTATCTTGAAGACAAATTTTCTTGCAAGAACACTAAACTAATTTGCCAATTGTACCTTTCAGATGATGACGAACGAACCAAACTGAGGGCCTGTTCATATTTACTTATTTTTAGTTCAGTTCAGTTCAGTTCAGCTCCGATCAGTTCAGTTCAGTTCAGTTCAGCTCCAATCAGTTCAATTCAGTTCAGCTCTTAATTTCCCTCTCTTATAAAATATTCATTTCAGCTTAGTTCAGTTCAATTCAGTTCAGTTCAGTTCAGTTCAGCTCCAATCAGTTCAGTTTAGTTTAGTTCAGCTCCAATCAGTTCAGTTCAGTTCAGCTCACTTCAGTAAATATGAACAACCCTGAATCTATGTATATTTCTATCAAATTGAATTGAATAGTCACATTATTAATCTCATTACTTCTTTTTCAACACTCTACCTTTCTAAGGCGTTAGCCAATAACCCGAATTACAAATTTACAATCCTTATTATTAATATATATTATATACCTCACATTTTACAAGGTATATTCACGGCCGTATTTGGGGCAGAGCAGCCGGGGTGGTCGCCCAGGGCCCCATCGCAAAAGCCCAGTTTTCGTTAGTAAAAGCCTGGCCTTCATTATTTTAGGTATAAAAATTAATTTCTAGATATGTTAAATGAATGAACAAAGTGGTTCACTGGTTAGAACATAATTTAGTTATATGTTTACATTCTCATAGATTCGATTCCCATTAACTATTTTTTTTTCCTCCCGTTAACTATTTTTTTTCCTTTCATTTTTTTCGCTTAGTTTTACAAGTATGATACTTTCGTAATTTTGTATGACTTTATTTTTATAAAGTTTTTTTTTTTTTTTTTTGTTCAAAAGATTTTAAGATTAATATTTGTTATTCTATTATTATATTATATATTCACATTAATATTAGAATACTAGGAAGTACCATTTGTATGAAATTGATTATTAATTTATACTCCTTTTGTTCTATTTTAATTGCATGCAATGATAGGAGTTTTTTATATATAACATAAATATCATTAGTTATGTTTTACTAAATATTATAAAAGTTGATAATGAAAGTATATTTCGAGAAAAATCTAACAAAATATCACATGTATATATATTTTTTCCAACCCATAAATTACAAAAGATGATCAAAGGAGTGTACGTGAATAAGATTAAATTCGAAAGGTTAGAATTGGAGGAAATATGATCAAGCTAAATAACGTCATAAATATATAGTACTCTTCATTTGCAATCAATCTTTAGTGCATATGACATGTATGATTATATTTATAGGGCCCCTAATTGTTACTTTTCCCATAGGCTCCACAAAACTCAGATTCGGCCCTGGGCATATTTAATTTATTTCTCTCACCAGTCACTATCTTGAAGGCAAAATTTCTTACAAGAAATTAAAATTAAACTGATTGCAATCTTTTAACCTCTTTTTCACTAGACGACAGGCTCCAAAAAGGATCCGTTTGTTTTATATCAAATTGAAATAAATTGTCACATTATTCTACCATGTATAAATAAATACTAAGGTCCTTATTACGGTAAGCCAATAGCCGAAGTTACGGTCCTTATTAGCTTTCTATTAACATAAATTGTACACTAATATAAGCATTAAATATACACTTAAATCGTTTAAATTTACGAAATCATAAAAATATGTACACTAATTACACTGATTTACGCGTGTTTTTGTCATTAATTCCTAATTTTACACAATTTTCTAGAGTATATTATACTTATATATAGCCCTTAGGGCTACATATAGCATTACCCATATCCACATCATATTTTGTTAACATGTAGAAAATAAAATAAAACGTTTGATAAGCCAACAACATCAAAGTGGTTTATGGTCTATGGAGTGTACAAATTATGGATCAAAGAATTTATTAAAAATTAAATTTCAAAATTACGTACATATCAACTATAAAAAAAAAATTAAAGTTATTAAGTTAGAAATCAGAATATATATTTTAATAAGATGAAAAAAAAAGAGATTAGTAAAGCATGAAAAATATAAAATAAAGTCAACACTTTATAAACTATAAATTAATCGTACTTATACCTCATAACAACTCAAACTAATTAAGCAATTAGAGCTTTTAAGAAAAATTAATAAATAAAAGCCCTAAAAAAACAAGCCTAACAAAAATGGGGAGCACAAATAGTGAGAAAGTTGAGCTCTTACAAGCTCAAGAAGAGGTGTGCAAACACCTCTTTGCCTACGCAGATAGCCTTGTGCTAAGAGCTGCCATTGAGCTCCGCATTGCGGATATCATACACTCCAATGGTCAACCTATGAGCTTGTCCGAAATCGCCTCGAAACTCGAGGCACCCTCCCCAAAACTCTCATCTCTTGCACGCATCATGCGTGTGCTAGTCCGAAAGAAAATCTTCACGGTTGATTTTGAGAAAGTATCTTTGTCGCCGGGTGATGATGAACCCGGCGAACCCTTGTATGGACTAACCCTAGCCTCAAAGTGTCTCTTGCATGATCAAGAGCTAAGCTTTGCCCCTATATTTCTAACCTTCACCCACCCTGTGATGGTGGATGGATGGTTCGAAATAGGTCGTTCGATTAAGGAGGGAGGGACGCCTTTCGAGTTGGCTCATGGTGCACCCTTATGGGAGATGACATCTAAGGATGCTAGTGTCAATAAGTTGTTTATTGCCGGGATGACCGCGGCTACTAATTCATCCTTAGATGCCATCATAAGTGAGTATAAGGATAATAATATATTTTAGTGATATTCTAAGATAGATTTATGGAAGCTTATATGATAGAGTTTATATTGTGTAGGTTATCTTTTGTAGGCTATAAATAATAGCCAAGATCATCAATACAATTCAAGCTATTCTCTCATAAATAATTTGTCATGGTATCAAGAGCAGGTTAAATCTTGGGACCGTTCACACAAATACTCCCCCTGCCGGTGGGTTAGAATATTAAACCCACCGGTGGGATTCATAAATTTGCTTCCGCTATGCAATAGTATTGCTATTTGAAATTTCTATTTATTTATTTAATCCTTTTTTTTTTGGAATAACCATGTGATACGTGGGTTATTATTGGTGTATGTGATCAATATGAATGATCATATGTGATTTGGTTAGGTTGTAGTGTTTGAGTGTGCTTCCTCCATTATTGCATCTCCATGGAGATGAAGAAAAGCCACGTTTGGCGTATTATTTATTATTTAAAAAAAATGCAAAAGACCACGGACACCAGCGAAAGGCCTGGCAAAGAAGATCACGGACACCAGCAAAGGGCCGTGGCAAAGAAGATTACGGACACCAGCAAAGGGCCGTGACAAAGAAGACCACGGACACCAGCAAAGGGCCGTGACAAAAGACCACGGACACCAGCAAAGGGCCGTGGAAGAAGACCATGGACACCAGCAAAGGGTCATGGTAGCAAAAGTTCGTTTTTTTTTTAAATAAAAAAAAATTGAAGGCGACATCAACATAGTAGTGCAACTCAATCGACTTCAACAAAGTGCGACTTTCCAATCGTAACGTTCGTGTTACTGCCGTTACGATTGCGGGAGGGTGTTAGGAATATAGGAAAATATATTATTCTGATATATTTTCCATATAGATTTCATAATATTATATTTAGGATAATAATATATCTTAGTGATATTCTAAGATAGATTTATGGAAGCTTATATGATAGAGTTTATATTGTGTAGGTTATCTTTTGTAGGCTATAAATAATAGCCAAGATCATCAATACAATTCAAGCTATTCTCTCATAAATAATTTGTCAAAAGGTGATCATTGTGGACGTAGTTCTTCATCCCGATCGCCACGCGATGTTCGACGATGCATCCATAGCCCTTGATCTCTTGATGATGGTAACCTTTAGTGGTGCTAAAGAGAGGACTGAAGATGAATGGAAGAAATTATTGAATGAAGCTGGTTTTACTCATATTAACTTCATACCACTTCAAACTTCAATGTCATTCTCAATTATTGAGGTTTTCAATTAAATGACGAGATATCTAGAATTATTGTCTAAATGTTTACGACAAATTAAACAATGAAGCAAGCGCCATTATGCATGCGTTATAATTATATTAATGGAAAAGAATGGTAAACATTATGATTTATGAAAATTATGTATTCTAATAAGTTTAATTCAACTTTGCGTTACATGTACGGTGTCTTATGTTACAAAGTATAATATACGGAGTATAATTTTTTTAAAAAGCATGATGTGTAAATTGTAATACTTGTAATATATTGTGTGGGAATTGAAATGACGACTTATTTGTTTTAAGGTTATTAGTGGTATTGTGTATGTTGTTTGGTTTAGTTATTGTATTGAAAATATGAAGAGCATTATGTTCTCAATTCAAATACATGTTATTTACTTTGTATTTTATATTTACATGTTTTTTTTTTTTTTTGGTACGCGAGTATCTTCTTAGGTTGGTGTGTTTTTGTAGAATTAGGTAGAATTGGGCAGAAATTGCTTAGCTTTTATTGATGGAAAAGCACGAAATATATAATACAAAAGATCTCTAGAATCCTAGTCCTAGATAAACATGGAAACAGAGAAGATAAAATATTTCCTAAATATATGATATTTCCTAAATATCCTAATACACCCCCTCAAGTTGGAGCAGTAGGATCAAAAATGCCCAACTTGGAAAGAAGTTTATCAAACTGCGCCTTTCCGAGTGCCTTTGTGAATATATCCGCTAATTGATCTTTTGGTGGACACATGTGACGGAGAAATTAATCCTTCAGTAATGGCATCGCGAACAAAATGACAATCAACCTCTATGTGTTTCGTACGCTCATGAAACGCAGGGTTCCTCGCAATATGCAATGCTGACTCACTATCACAAAACAATTTAATGGCTTTAGGATGTTGCACACCCAAACTCAACAATAAACCCTTGAGCCACTTTAATTCGCAAGTGGCGCCATTCATACACCTGTACTCCGCCTCTGCAGAAGAAGTTGAAACTGTAGGTTGCTTTTTAGTTTTCCAAGAAATCGGTGATTTTCCTAGAAACACAAGCCAACCTGTCAACGAGCGTCGAGTTAAAGAACACGCCGCCCAATCTGAGTCACACCATCCCTCTAAAGTGAGCTCACTATCTGAACGCAATAATATGCCTTGGCCGGGAGATCCTTTGAGATACCTAACAACTCTCAAGGCCGCCTCCCAATGTTCTATGCGAGGTGCTTGCATGAATTGTGACAAAATGTGAACTGAGTAGGCTAGATCCGGTCTAGTGACCCCGAGATATATTAGCCGTCCCACAAGACGACGATAAGCTTCTGGATGCTGAAGAAATTCGCCATTAGCATGAGCGAGTCTGTGATTTTGTTCCATGGGAAACCCACTCGGCTTTGCACCCAATAAACTTGTTTCAGAGATAATATCCAAAGTATACTTTCTTTGACACAAAAATAATCCGGACGGACTACGAGCCACCTCAATGCCTAAAAAATATTTAAGGGAACCAAGATCTTTCATTTTAAAACAATCACTAAGATATGCTTTGAAAGCCTTAAGTGCAGCGGAATCATTCCCAGAAATAATAAGATCATCCACATAAACTAAGACATTAATTTGAGTATTGCCATTAGTATATGTAAATAAAGAGTAATCTGAATAGGATTGGATAAATCCATACCGTTTTAGAGCCGTTGTCAACTTTGCATACCAACACCGAGGTGCTTGTTTCAAGCCATACAATGACTTGCGTAACCTACACACCAAAGACGGATCTGAACTTTCAAACCCGGGGGGCAACTTCATGTAAACTTCCTCTGCTAGGTCACCATGCAAAAAGGCATTTTGCACATCCATTTGATGTATTTCCCAGTTTTTGCAAGCCGCTATTGTGAGAAAAGCACGAACGGTAGTCATCTTGGCAACTGGAGCGAATGTCTCATCATAGTCAATTCCAGCTTGTTGATGATTACCAAACACCACTAATCTTGATTTAAGACGCTCAATATCACCATTAGATAAATATTTAGTTTTATAGACCCATTGACTACCAAGAGCACGTTTCCCAGGAGGAAGGCGTTCTAGAGTCCATGTACCATTGTCCTCTAGAGCACGAATTTCATCTTTCATAGATTTACGCCATCCGTCATATTTCATTGCTTCTTTGAAAGATTTAGGATCATTATCCTTGATAATAGCTGCAAGAAAGTTGCGATACTTGACAGAAAAATTGTCACAATTAATGTAATGTGCTAAAGGATAAGGAGTACCTGAGGAGTGATCGGAAGGAAAAGAGAGTGGACTATTAGCAAATACCGTATGTGTCACAAAATCTCGATGCAAGACATTCGGAAATTTTTGTCTCAAGCCACAGCCCAAAGCTTGATCATTTATATTAGCTTCCTTGTCATCCGATTCTGCAGCAGTCGTGGGCCCACTCGAAGAAGCCCCATCCACAACCTGCTCAAATGGCGTGAAGGTGGGGAAAGAAATAGGTGGCCCATCTGGCGCTGGATTACCAGCGGGCTCACCAGCAGCCACTGTGGGCTGATCTGCCAAAGGCCCAGCGGACCTTGGTGAAGCTTGTCCTGCCGCTGGGTCTTGAGTATGGGATTGGGCTTTGTGGTTTGGATCAACAACATCTTCATAAATAATTGCTGAAAAATCCTCATGGATATTATGATCCTCATACTCATTATTGGAAATATTCACGGCCTCCGGATTCCCAAACGGAAATACTTCTTCAATGAATTTCACATCCCGTGAGACAAAAAATTCCTTTGTAGTCAAATCAAACACTCTCCATCCCTTTTTACCAAACGGATAACCCATGAAAATACATTTGCGACTCTGATTAGCAAACTTATCTCCCTTGTTTTTCTGATTATGAGCAAAACATAAACATCCAAAGGTTCGAATAAAGTCAAAAGATGAGGGTTTGTGAAAAAGGATTTCAAAAGGAGTTTTGTTTCCCAAAAGAGGAGTTGGGGTACGGTTAATTAAATGAGCAGCAGTGAGTACACATTCTCCCAAAAATTAAATAGGTAGTTTTGCTTGAAATCTCAAAGCACGACTAACATTCAATATATGTTTATGTTTCCTCTCTACTCGCCCGTTTTGTTGTGGAGTTCCTACACAAGATGTCTGAAACAAAATTCCAGTGGCTCTAAAGTAGGCAAGTAGACAATTAAACTCTGTCCCATTATCACTTTGTACTACTTTAATAGTTTGAGAAAATTGCCGATCAACCATAGCAACAAAGGCCATAAACATTTGAAAGACCTCTAATTTATCAACCAACAAATAAACCCAAACTGCTCGTGAATAATCATCCACAATTGTCAAAAAATAACGAGCTCCACACGACAAAACATGTCGATATGGACCCCATAAATCACAATGAATTTTCTCAAATATTCGAGATGCTTTATTATCACTTAAAGGAAATTTGTCTCTAGGATGTTTAGCATGCATACATACTTTACAACCCGTATCTAAATGATCTTTGCTACCAAAAACATTAGGAATTAACTTAACCACTTTTTCAGAAGGATGCCCAAGTCGACGATGCCATAACTCTAACTTCGGTGTAGCTTCAACGTTTGACACTTTCGGTTTGCTAAAATAGTATAGTCCATCTCTTCTAGTTCCCATTCCAATCGGCTCCTTCGCTTGGTCCTGTATAGCACAAACATAAGAATCAAATTGGACAATAGTGTGTAAATCATCATTAAGTTGAGAAACTGAAAGTAAGTTGCAATTCAAATTCGGA